CAATTTTAAGAAAGACAAAAAGTTGCATTTGTACACAGAATGAAATGACTGTTTAAGATTCAAAGTGTTACCAGAAAGTTGAAAAGCTTTTTATTGTAATATTTGTAACTAGAGGGAAAGATATGCAGAACAGGAAAAATAGATTCCCCATACAAAAGTAGATGAATTTTCATTTTTGTAGTTTAGTTATCCCTTGAAGACTTGAGATAACCACTACCTTTTCCCCAACGAAATCCACAGTCTGAGGCTTACTTGCAGATTTTGTGACCTCAAGTATGTGTCTCGGAAGCAAGTCCCATTGATTTCAGTGGCACCAACTTTTAGGCATGTTTAGGAGCAGAAGTGCTCATCATTGTGGAACCAGTTTGAACAGGTAACAGTGTCTACAGTTAATAAAATATTTTGTTTTAAAACATCAACATCTGTACAATATTTACAGCAGCCAAGTACACCTGTGCAAATTTAGAAGATGGGCTCTGTATTAAGTGCTGTCTCTGAAGACCATTCACCAACTGGAAATTCTATCGATAAATATTAATGCCCTTCAGAACCAGTGTGATTTTCTTTTATAAAGTGAAAACTTCAGTTTTCCAAGTGTGCAGCATACAATTTGTTCTTGTTTTAGCTCACTGGGGAGCAACATGATTGACATGAAAACAGTTCTTTATTCGTCATAATGCAACGATAACAAGAACTTATCCACATCCATTCCAGCAGGAAAGGAAATTGGCAGCTTCTTCTGCTGAAAGAAAAAAATATTGGTGTTACATGCAGCACACCACTGATGAAAATACTATATTAATCATGTGAAAACCAATATTGTAACTGACTAAAGCTGTCTAGTGTTGAAGTAATCGCTAAATGTCTCCCCTTAATCAACTGCAGCAACACAAATTTTAATGAAGTAATGTGCACATGGAATGTGCAAAGCATGCTTCACATGATCCCATTTAGAGAATACCCTGTGCCTACATATGGTAGAGATTTGAGTCTAAAAAAAAAACAGGTTGCTTACCTGTAACTGGTGATTTTCGAGTGGTCATCTGTGCATTCACACCTATGGGATACAGTGCGCATGTGCTGGATCGATCGGCATTGTAGCAAGCTCTTAACGGATTTTCGCACCCAGACCTCAGGCATGCGCAGGAACCCCACCATGCATGCCCAGAGGAGTGGGTGCGGACATCCTGCCAGTTCCTTCGAACCAATCAACCCCTATGAAAAATGTAGAAGCTGACAGCAGCGGGGAAGGAGGACGGATGGTGTGAATGCACAGATGACCACTTGAAGATCACCAGTTACAGGTAAGCATCCTGTTTATTTTCGACGTGGTCTCTGTGCTTCACACCCATGGGAGATTAGCAAGCAGTGGCCTACCTGGAGGAGGGTGCTGGCAGGTCCTTACTGCGTAGCCGAGGATAAGATGTGACGTCCCATGTTGGTACGAAAGTTCTTATGGATGTCTAGGGTGTAGTGCCTTATGAATGTGTTAGGCGTGGCCCACGTAGCGGCTCTGCAAATGTCCATTAGGGGAACTCCCTGGAGGAAGGCAGTTGAGGCTGCAACAGCTCTGGTTGAATGAGCCCTGATAGGGCCAGGCAATGGCTGCTTGGCAATAAGGTAGCAGAGGCAGATGAGACCCGCAATCTACCTTGATAGGCGCTGAGCTGTGATGCGAGTCCCCAGCCTTGCTGGCGCATAGGAGACGAAAAGTTGAGTCATGTCTCATTGGACGGGTTCTGTTTAGGTAGAACAGAAGCGCATGTTTCATATCCAAGGTGTGTAACAGCCTCTCCTCTGAGGATGTTGGCGCTGGGAAGAAAAACCGGGAGGAAGATCTCTGCCTGTAGGTGAAATTCTGACACTACCTTTGGCAGGAACGAGATGTCAGGTACGAGGTGGACGCCATCCGGCAAAAAAGACAAGGAGTGTCATGTCAGAAAGCCAGTATTTCTCCAACCCGCCTTGCTGAAGTGACAGCAACCAGAAAGGCCGTTTTCCATGACAGGAATTTTAGGTCGCAAGTTGTGAGCGGCTCAAAAGGTTTCCTGGTGAGTTGGCGAAGGACCAGGGGAAGGTCCCAGGGGATGACAGGAGTTTTGATGGGAGGGTAAAGGTGCAACAGTTCATTCAAAAAACGTTTTGAAAGTGGATGTGAGAACAGTGTGCATCCCTCAACTTGAACATGGTAGGCCAAAAGTGTGGCCAAATAAACCCTTAATGAGGAATGTGAAAGTCCCGAGTCCGTGAGAGACGGGAGGAATTTGAAAACTTTCTTGAGACCTGCGGAGGTGGCTCGAGGGGCATCGTCACCCAAAGAGGAACAGAATTTTCACCACTTGTAATGATAGGACTTTCGTGCAGTGGACTTTCTGGAGTTTAGCAAGACATTTGCTATGCGGGCGGAAAAGCTGTTGGCGCTACTCTCCAGGCTGTCAACTTCATTCGTGGCACGTCGTGGTATAGGAGAGGGGACTCTGTTAGGAACAGGAGGTCTTGTGCTGGAGGAAACTGGTGGTAGTTCCCTGCTGACAGATTGAGGATGGTTGAGAACCACGGTTGCCTCGGCCACCACGGAGTTATGAGGACGCAGTTCGCTCTGTTGCTGATGATTTTGCAGACCACTCTCAGAAGCAGAGACAGTGGAGGGAAGAGGTAGAGAAATCCTCTGGACCACAGATAGAGGAGACTGTCCCCTAGAGACTGTGGGTCCCTGCCACCTCGGGTGCAGAACAGAGGGCACTTTTTGTTCGCCCTGGTGGCAAAAACATCTATCTGGGGGAACCCCCACCTGCGGAAGAGTGGAAGAATTTATTTATTTATTTACATTTATACCCTG